CATTAGATGTAATATGACTTTAGTCTGTATTATCCTTCTCGTATTCTCGTCGCGAAATGATCACACTCGCAAGTCTCGTCAGCGGGAGGAAGTGACGTAGTTCGTTCACTGAAACATCGATCTTGCGTTTCGCCCTCAAGGGATATGCTCGTCGCTTTACAACTTGCCGGAAATGACCGGAAGCGTTAAATTGCACGATCCTTAGATGAAAAAGCAAGAAAGTGGGAAAGAGTGGATGAGAATCGAGAATAGTAAATCGTCAATGAAAAAGAATTTTCTGTCGATTAAATCTGGCGATCACCAGTGGTTCTTTTGACAAAATCAATCATACAAAAATTCAATCTCATTTTTTCATTTTTTTTTCTTATTTTTCCGTCCTTATCCAATCAATTTTCAATAATTCGATTCTCATTCGACATTGTCTTTAATTTGTTCGTTATTAGCTGTCGCGACTTGTTTTCAATCAATTTTGTAAAAAAATGGAAAAAACAAGCTTTGAAATTTATCACGATACTGTTTCATTAATCTTTGTATTAACGAGAGAGGTAAGAGATAAATAAAAGTATCAATTGCAACTTCATATTTAATAAAAATTTATTTTGAACGTTAAGAGATTTATGCAATATCCTGTAGGTATATCTGTTTTACACTACAGCCACATATAATATTACATTCATTACAGTTGCGCTTTTATATAAGGTTGTGTATAAAAGAATTTAGAAATTACGAATTCTCTACATCGTTGCTATAACCTGCGCAGATAAACAGAGCATGTTATTTCGTGCGTAGCGGCACCGATTTTCGCAACTTTGTTTATTCGCACTGGACATATCTGTGGATTTTTCGTCAACAACGTAGTCGCGTTACATCGGACCTCGATCGCTGCACAGCATTTATTTTTTTAGCAATTGGTAATAATCATGAAATGTTTACTTTTATGCAGCGTTATCGTTGCAATAGCTTTATCGAATTACAATATTGATTCGATCTACATTAAAAATATTATAATTATGACGTTGTAAGAACGTGAATTAGGATTATTAGTTTGTGAAATTATAAATAATCATGCATTTGACTAAAATAGTCATACATGAAAAGAATGGCTTTGCTGAAATGTCTAAAAATTCAGCTAGATACAGTACTGAAAATAATTTTATTTGAATTAAAATAATTATGTAGGACTTAAATTAGTTGCTAGAATGTTAAAACTTACAATATTGTTCAACATGCTGTGTCCCACATAATTATTTTGATAGTCTAATAAAATTATTTTTAGATTTGTATCTAGTTAAATTTTTTAATATTTTAATTTTCTTATCTATAAAATCTTTCTTAGTTTTCCCTTGTACGAATGAATTTGTTTTTAAATGAGTACGAACGACATCGTAAATATATCCTTCGGTGCACTATGAATATTTCATATGTGGATATTATCCGATTATGTCTTTTATTTTATATACCATAACATTTTTAAAATAAAAGCACATATATTGAGTTGTTACCATTATATTCTTAACATCTAGCGTTTTAATTTAAAAAATTATTATATAATCATTTTTATATAATATTTTTACGCAATATCATTACGTTATATATCAAAATGTATAATATGATATTGAAGAGTTAATATTGTTAATCACTTGTTTATATCATAATTTCCTTTTTTTTCATTTTTTAAATAAATACTCGTTTAAATTTTGATCGCGTAATTTGATCTGTGAATTTATCCGTGTTATTTTTCCCACAATCAGTGGATTGCCACTTTACATTCTATTTTAACAATCCAATAAAAATGTCGTGAATCTGCACTAGTCCATCACTTCATTTTATAAACTTTTACTTCGTAAAATAAATCTTCTTTATCGGGAAACATATATGTACTTATATGGTACATATACATATGCATAAAATATCCGATTTCTCGTTACACATCTATATTTTGCGCAATAAACATGTTGTGTATTGGTTACTCTACAAATTTATTCAACTGATTGTTGTTTTAAGTGAAATGTATCTTTTTTGCGTGCCAGAAAGTGTTTACGTTCACTAAATAAAATTAAAATTGAAATATTTGATTTATTGCTTTGTATTTACTTGTATTTAACCCATAATTGCATTTATTATCTTATGAATTTGCAATTTTTTTTAAAATAAAACAAACCTTTTCTACGAATACAAGAAAAGAGAGAGTTAATAAAAGTTTAACACAGATAACTGCAGTTGTATTTGATAAGGTAATGATTAATACATAAAAAAAGTCGAACATTTGAGCTCAAATTTGAATCATCTACAGCAACATAAAAATATAGAAAAGATGTAAACGATATTATAACGACTATTATTAGATGTCAGGAGCAATACGATGACATAATTCCTTGAGTTATACATAACATTTTGTTGTTTTTAATTTCCATATATTAAAATATAAATCAATTCATTTCTGTTAACTTCTAGGTAAACACCCATATTAATACTTTTAATAATTTTTAATGAAAAAGAAGAGAATTAACAAGTGATTAACAATATATAACCTTCCAATGCCACATTATACAGTTTGACACGTATATAATGTACACATTTAATAAATAATAAACTAAATTTCAGTCAAATTTATTACATTTTCTTGAATTGACTTGTTTAATTCCATTATTTCAGTCAAATAATATTATATATTGGATAGGAACAATGCTAACCTATAAAAATGATTAAAAATTACTCAAATTAACATTATGAGTATAATTTAACATTATGAATTTAAACAATGTAGACAATAATAATATTTAATTTATCGCGATACAAAATGAATTGTTCATGAATTGTTAATGGCTATCGAATAATGACGTAATCGGAACGATAAGATGTTGCCTCGACGGATGTGCGAAGTGCGAATAAGCTGCATTGTTCCCGCACAAAGGATACCATCCACCTGCCGCGTTTCATAGATTTCCCACGAGTTTCACTATATGCACGCGGAAGACCCGAACATTTTTCTCTCCGTGCACCGTCATTACTTTCATATTCGCGATCTTCCCTTCGACGATGCGCGAAATTTATCGTGAAGAAAAATGCATTGCGGGATGCAGATAATTTTCCGTTATAATCGGTTGATATCTCACGATCAATCGCGCTCCTGTCTGTTTGCTCGCATCGCGGCTTTGCTCGTTTTCCTTGTGAATCCCGTGGAAATCCGGTCATTGTTCCGCCTTTTCGCAACGACGTATCTTTGTCAGAAAGAATAACCCGTGCAAAAGAACAGAAAGTAAAGCTTCTATGGAGAGTTGTCGCCAAAATGATTTCAAAGAAACGTTTGATAACTTCAAAAAATACCAATAAAAGTTACGTAAATATAGAGTAATTATTTTTTGTTATGTAGCGTAGAGTAAACAAATCTTTTCAATTTTTTAAAGTTATCGTGATATCTTCAAGCCTGTCAAAAATAGATAACGAATAAAAAGAGATTAAATTTGTGAACAAATATTTTGTTGACGCATAACTTCAATATTGTATGATTGTTATATTTATCTTGACTTATCGGAGGTTTTTATTTTTTAAATTTGTTCTTCAAACTATACATGTCACTATACATAATATTAACATAACAATGTAAAATTGATTTGTTAATTAAAGTTGGAATTTCAGTTGATGAAGCTTAAAACAATTCATTATTCAAGATGAGAGAGAGAGAGAGAGAGAGAGAGAGAGAGAGAGAGAGAGAGGGGGGGGGGGGGAGAATTTCGAATCATATTTATTCTTATAGTAATTCTGTCAAACTTGTTGGAAGAACATTTATCGTCAAAATTTTTGGAAAGGGCAAAATACTTGATAATATTTTTGATGTGTGTTGTTCAGAATGATCGATTGACTCTGGTTTTGAATCGTAGCCTGCCCTGATAAACCGTCGATCGCTGTTAATCCGATATCGTAGTACGCGCCAAACGCAGTGAAATTAACAATAAACGCGTCACGCGTTATCAAACGTGGTTGTTGCTGCTAAATGCCAGCTACACGTGTCGATGCTATCGCGGCGTGAAATTTCACTGAAAACGATTCGAATAAAAACGTTACCATCTAGAAATGTGAAATTCCATAGATATCTGTAGTTGAAGTTTTCAACGTCGTAAAATCTACTTTTCTTGAGCTATAAAGAGAAATAACGATATCTTTTTAAGAAACAAAAAGCAAATATATTTGATATAAAATTTTATTGATTTAATAGATTTTAATAGCTCTGTGAGAGAGGAAACACTACTATGATAAATGTCTGCCTAGCTGACTTCCCCCCTCCCCCCTCCCGCACTTAACCAAATCTTAATGAATAAATTATATGATAATGCGTGGAGGAGGGGTGGGAGGCAGTTAGGTAGACGTCTATGATAATTATGAATGACATATGCGAAGTGAAAGATAGATATAGAATTTATATACAATTATAAATAGAAATCGGATCAATATGAATAAATAAGGGAAAAATGTTACTCTATATGAGGTGAAATTTTTTATTATAAGTTCTTTGCACTGTTTTAAGATGCTTATTAAAATTATTAAATTGATCAATATAATTATGTTATGTTCAGTTTATGACCGGTATTTATGATCATTTCTTATATTTCAGATCTTCTAGATCTATAATACAGTCTTAAAATATCATGAACCAATCACAGAATTGCACTAGCATCTTAGAATATTATTTAAGATGATTTAATAAGAATGGAAAACTGGTCTACTGGATTGCGTTTCAAACCAAATTGGTGCGCAGTTTATAGAATTAAAAAATGTATAATCTAAAAAAAATTTGTAGTCTATGAATATGAGTATGAATTATTAAGTGTCAAGATCTGCGACCAGAAATAGAATTTATATAGTTTTATAAATATAGTTTGTTTCACTTTTCTTTTATTAACAATAATTATTTATTGACAGGTTATTGTCTGAAAATCGAATGAGACGCGTACTACGTTAGGATGGTACGAGGGTGAAATCGCTAAGAGACGTTCGTCAGTATGCTGCGGATATTGATAGTGGTGACGTGCATCGAGATATCGACGCTCGCCAATGCACAGTCGAAAGGAACTACTTCTTTCGATAACGATGCGAACAGCGATGAACCTGAGCATCCGAGTGAGTACAAACATATTCCCCGAAATTTAAAAATATTAGATATATAAGATATGTACACAAGAAGAAACGATATTTATCATCTTTTTCTCGTAACGAATATAAATTATATGCAAAAATGTTTTGATACGGTAACGAAATTACTTGTTGTTTTGCCGTTTGACTTGTCCATACATGGCGTTATGCAAACTAATTATTTAGAATACACGTACTTAGTAGTTTGACCGAATTTTGAACTACCTATGTGAGTGACGGTTAACTAGATATTGACAAATACGAGTTCAGCTTAGTTACTACACTAAAACCTGGTTTAACTACGTGTAAATAGTACCTGTCGAAGAAAGGTCATTTGATTCTCTAGTGAAAGCGTCTGTAGAAAAAACGAGTTGATTATGGAGAAATTCAAACATGCAAAGGACGATTTTGAAGTATCTAAAAATTTAACTAGATACTAATAGATAGATCGGAAAATAATTTTGTTGGATATTAAATAATTATGTAGGACAACAAATAAGATAAAAATATTCAGTGTTTAAAGTAAGAAAAAAGTAAAAAAAAATGTTTAATGGGAATCAAGTGCGGTAATTAGTGCGCAAATATTTAAATTATAAACCTTTAATAATTGATCACTTATTTTGCTAAAATATTATCAGATTCTAAGTACAGTGATCAAAAACTGTGTTTGAATTTCAATTATTTATTTATTTATTTTAAAGTCATTTTCAGCGGAATAAAATTAAATGAACAAGTAAAGCGACAAAACAAAGCAAGGTAACGTATTTTACTCATGTGAAAGTATGCAGAAGTTAAAGGCCAGCATCTCATTGTTCAAAGATTAAAAAATTTTCCTTGTCCATCAGAATTAGTTAGTTGGAAGAATCAGGAAAGCAATCAAGTAGAACGCTTAAGCATAATGAGGAATATTGCAAAAAGTTTTGATATTCTAGTAACCAACTTGACATCCTACATAATTATTTTGATAGTCCAACAAAATTTTTTCGTATTTGTAACAAACTAAATTTTTACGTTAGTAAAACTTTTCCGTGTGTCGAGTCCGTTGGAGAACACGAATGTGTTTTTCTTTCCGGTGCGAGCGTTTGTATCTTTCCGCATTGCATTTTTCCATACATACATATGTGCATGCACAACGAATCGCCAAGTACAATTCGGTAAAATGGCCACAGAAACGCATTTCAGTGCAAGGACGCTTCCTTTCACCAATTTATGATGCGAAAACCGGCCGTGGTGATGGCGGAACGTCGGGAGGGTAAACCACTCGTGGAAATTGCCGCGCGTGAGCACGGAACTTTTTTTAAATTTATTCGTATACCGCTTGCTGGCGAAATGAATATCAAGATTAACGTTCAAAGCCAGTGAAAAGAGTGAAGCATAGAGAAACGAGAGCGGAAGAACGATTCGCGCTAACTTCAACGGTGAACTTCGAAACATATCGAGATCGCAATTACCTGTCGCCCACCCACAACTGAAAATCGACGGCGAAAGTTGCGAAGATCGCACAGCGACCCTATATAGTTACTTTAAATTTCCATACTTCACTTTCGCGAAGTTCTCTCGAGAAGTTTGATGATCGCGTCGACAAGAGTGACACTTCTTCTACCCCGAGAGAGTAATTTTCCGTCTCTCATTTTATATACCGCGGGGCTCTCTAGGACGCAGTCAATTCGCTTTGAGTCGTATGAATATATTTTTTTTTTTATCGATGCTAAAGGATCTTTTATATCCTGTTTCCGCTTTGGCTTGTATTTTCTGTTTTAAATCTTTGAACGCACTTTTGTCCGGATAAAAAGGACGTGATATATTTTTTATTTTGATTGTCTACTCTTTATTTATTACAAATATTTATTTAAAAATTTCTTTCGTCGTTTACATGCGAAATAAATATTCAATTGAGTGAACTTTTTCAACTTGGAAGATTCTTAGTGTCTTTCATTAAAATTCATAAAGTAATTAGTTAGAATAAGAGCAATACTAACGAATTATGAGGCCTCGCATGTCGACTGGCCGTTGGAAGTTTATACTGGCGAAAGCTTGGCGTACTTTATAAGTTCCGTGCACGAGGCCAAACTAATTAGATATGTATGAATAGCCCGAGCGTTCGTCGGGGACATATAATTAATGCGGCCCGCTGGCTAAGTGAGAAATTAATTATAATATGGAAATTGGAGTTGTGTATGTTCTCTCTCTTTCTCTTTCCCTAGCTCTCATACTTGTCTTCCCGTTCTTCTATTATTACACACTAAACTCTGACCAGTCTGGCTTCTCATGCAAGCTTCCATCTTTCGACGCAATAGAAGGAAGATTTCTCGACGCAGACGCAACCGCGCATGTTATACATCGTGCAACAACATATAACACTTATGCTCTCTTTTGAAGAAGAAAATCTCCTTTATATATGATAAAACCATCAACTCCTTGGGATAAATTCATCGCTACATGTGACCGTCGACGTCGACACGAATGTCACGAAGAAAAGTTTCATACAATCTGTTGTACAGTCAGAATTTAATTTTATCGCGTGATTCCGTCGCGTGTACTACGCGAAATTAAAATTGGCATAACTATCTTTTTATTTACCGTTTAAACAATTTAATCCTGAAAAGTAATTTGTAAAGTGTGTTATGATGAGAGCTTATTTTAACTAAATCTAAACGTACTAATTATCAGATTAGAGATCATGTAAATAATATAAAAAATTATTTTTCTGCGTATTATGTATAATTTTTAGATAATTTCAGTTTTGTACTGGAGCATTAATTTGAAAGCGATAATTATACATATTTTGCTTGTAGATAAATATCGTTAAATCTAAATTAGATCTTGTAATATGTTCTCTTATTTATTTTCATCGTTATCTGGCAGATACAGTCTACAAATGTATATGGAATTACGTACATATGTCTTTGGGAAACTGTTCGCTTTGTCATAAGCATATTGTACTTTCTGATTATTCAACGTTATGTAATAATGATGAACAAGCGGATTCATATTCTAGTTTCCTGCACGCTTTACATGTCTTCTCTCTCGAGGATATATCATCAAACAGAACATCAAATTTCAATATATAACAAAGTTATATTTGAGAGATAAATTGCATTTATATGCGTATAATAAATTTTTATATCTTAAATGATAAAATTGCTGACAAGTCCGTACTTGGGAAATAAAAGAAAGAAACTTACTTTTTACATAAGAAAGCTTACGAAAATCCAAAATTTTATAAATCTTATTTTGAAAATAAGTTATTTAAATAAGTAAATTAGACATTAAATTAAAACAATATATAAATATTCTGAAAATTTTAAATAAAATTTTATATCTTATTTTTTAAAAAATTTATATTTTTTATATATTTTTTAAAAAATTTTATATCTTCTTGATTACAATTATATAATAGTTAATGTAATTTATCACAGATCTATGATTTTGATCTTGTTGTCTTAAATACATAAAAATGTTCTTCGATAAAAACGTAGAATAAAACTAAAGAAATGAAAGAAATGGTGGAAAAACTATGGATACATTGTAATTTAAACTTGCGGTAGGTCGGCAAAGAGAGGATTTCGACCAGAATCGATTTATTTTATCGGTTAACTACAGGGGTTAACGATAATCTCGTTTCGTAGCCGAGCCCACAAGAGTTATCCTCATCAATAAGGGGCAAGTTTCGAGCGAAGCAACTTCTACGGGCTACCTCAGTCGAAGTTAACGGTAATCTCATTGACGAGTCTGCGACACACACAGTCAGAATCCGTCCGATGAGTTCTGCAATTTTTGGGGTCAAAACCGCAACGTGCAAAAGTGCTATAGGATCTCTGCTTGTTAAGGAACTCATCATGAACGGAAGTATGTTGCTCTCTTCAGGATTTGCTATAATCTCGGCACTGTCGATCCTTCAGTTCTTTTGAGAAATGCATACCTACTTAAATTTTGAATGTATATATTTTTAGCTTAAAGTCCCTGCATAATTATAAAAATATAATTATAAAAAAAAATTAAGATATCAGAAAATTTAGAATTCGAAAGTAGTGCAAATATGTATATTAGCACAACACGCAGTGATTTTTAAGCTAAAAATCTTGTTTAAACAAAGTTTATTCAGAATAACATAATGAAGAGTTATTTTACTTTCGAGTTGAATTTCTTGTGTCTTAAAATTTTATCTGTTTGTTTTTTAAATATGAAACTACGGAAAAGAGAGAAGCTTTGGCTCGAGAAGCTAGTGAATTTTATAACGGAACAACACAAGAAGCTCAAAATCTCATTTTCATACTTTGACTCTTAGGTGCGAAACTTATTCGATTAAAAGCTTGAGGCTCGAAATCGCAAAAATGCATCGCGGTATTCGGTTCGCAAATCGAGGTCGCCGTGGTCAACAGGCCCCTCTCGCCTGTTAACGAGTTCGCGAGTTTGCTAAAGTCCCGTCTTGGGTAGCCTCAACAACGAGTTGGGGATTCCGCTTAACTCGTTGCTTTGGTAAACTCGAGGACACTTTGTTAAGCTTAATCTCCTTTCACGGTTATTGGGTTCCGCTCTTTACGAACAAAAGGACGCGAGGTTGTCAGAGGAGGACTTAAATCTTTCGGGATATACTGGATATGCTGACAGTTATATTGTACAGAACTACGCGGAAAATTCGTTCCGGATTTTATTAACTTCGCATACTTTTATGGAAATTGAAATAATCTCCATAGCAATATTTTCTTTATATACTATTGTAGTAATTGAGAGATTCTTAGCAGAAAGATGGCGTTTCTTGCAGAGAATATAAAAGCGGCTTCACGCTTATTACTAGACGAGTGAATTTTCATGCAGATTCATTTAAATAAACCTTTCAGAGGTATATAAAAGGTCATAACGGTGCTATTTCGTTTTATATAGTTAACCATTCATATTCTATTCAAGATTGAATGACTGATTGAATCTTGAGAGAATATACGATTAGAAGAATGGATTTTTAATTATCTTTTCTAACGGAAAGCATC